AGTTTGTCTATCTTAGATATATCTCAGTAATTTGCATACTACTCGTATTATTCTGGGGCAGGTAGGAGATACAGTGGATAGAGCAGTGGGCCTGGAGACAGGGAGATCTGAATTCAAATGTGACTTCAGACACTTGCTAGCTGTGTGACCTAGGCAAGTTATTTAACTCCTATTTGTCTCAGTTCCTCATCTATTCCACACTGGAAAAGGAAACCATTGCATTATTTTTGCCAAGAAAATCGTTCTTGTTGTTCAGTCATTTCAGTCATATCTGACTCTTTGTGACCCTATTTGGGATTTTCTTTTTCACTAGGCAAAATATACAAACCTTTTCTAGTGAGTGTCTCTGGAAGATTTAAGTTCAGTACTAGAGCAAGTAGTGATTGCATACATGCACATACACTTTTATATAATACTTTATTTTCAAAAATTTTTTTATTTTTAACGTATGTTTTTAAAATTTTGGGTTACAAATTTTCTCCCTTCCTCCCTCCCCACCCACCCTCATTGAAAAGGCAAGCATCTCGATACATGTTATAGATGTGTAGTCATGCAAAACACTTCCATAGTAGTCCTGTTCCCTTCATCCTATCCTACCCTCCATTTATTCTATTCTTTCTTTTGTCCCTGACCCTTCTCAGAAGTGTTTGCTTTTGATTGTCCCCTCCCCCAGTTTGCCCTTCCCACTATCAACCCCCTGCTCTCTTGTCCCCTTCCCCCCTTATTTTCCTTTAGGGTAAGATAGATTTCCATACCTCATTGTGTATATTATTCCCTCCTTAAGCCAAATCTTATGAGGATAAGATTCACTCATTCCCTCTCACCATCCCCCATTTCCCCTCCACTGTAAAAGCCTTTTCTTGTCTGTTTCATGTGAGATAATTTACCCCATTCTACTTCTTCCTTTCTCCTTCTCAGTATAATCTTCTCTTACCCCTTAATTTTATTTTCCAGATATCATCCCTTCATCTTCAACTCACCCTGTGCCCTCTATGTATACATACATATAATTTTTTCCCTTCCCACTACCCTAATACTGACAAAGGACTCATGAGTTACAAATATCATCTTTCCATGCAGAAATGTAAACAGTTCAACCTTAATAAGTCTCTTATGATTTCTCTTTCCTGTTTACCTCTTCCATGTTTCACATTAGTCTTATATTTGAAAGTCAAATTTTCTATTCAGCTCTGGTCTTTTCCTCAGGAATGCTTGAAAGTCCCCTATTTCATTGAATGACCATTTTTTACCCTGAAGGATTATATTCAGTTTTTCTGGGTAGGTGATTCTTGGTTGTAGTCCTATCTCCTTTGCCCTCCGGAATATTATATTCCATGCCCTGTGGTCCCTTAATGTAGGAGCTGCTAAATCTTGTGTTATCCTGATTGTGTTTCCACGATATTTGAATTGTTTCTTTCTGGCTGCTTGCAATATTTTCTCCTTGACCTGGGAACTCTGGAATTTGGCTACAATATTCCTAGGAGTTTTCCTTTGGGGATCTCTTTCAGGAAGAGATTGGTGGATTCTTTCCATTTCTATTTTGCCCTCTGGTTCTAAAATATCAGGGCAGTTTTCCTTGATAATTTCTTGAAAGATGATGTCTAGGCTCTTTTTTTGATCATGGCTTTCAGATAGTCCAATAATTTTTAAATTCTCTCTCCTGGATCTATTTTCCAGATCAGTTGTTTTTCCAATGAGATATTTCACATTGTGTTCTATTTTTTCATTCTTTGGATTAGTGTTACAATGCCTTTTTTTCTCAAATTATCACTAGCTTCCAAATTCTCCATTCTAATTTTTAAGGAAGTATTTTCTTCAGTAAGCTTTTGGACTTCCTTTTCCATTTGGCCAATTTTGCTTTTTAGGGCATTTTTCTCCTCATTGGTTTTTGGACCTCTTTTGCCATTTGGGTTAGGCTAATTTTTAAGGTGTTATTTCCTTCAGTATTTTTTTGGGTGTCCTTTAGCATCACTCTCAGTTTTTCCTCTACTTCTCTTAACTTGCTTCTCAAAATCCTTTTTGAGCTCTTTCAAGGCCTAGGACCAATTCATATTTTTCTTGGAGGCTTTGGATGTAGGAGCTTTGGCTTTGTTGTCTTCTGGTTATATGTTTTGATCTTCTTTGTCGCCAAAGTAAGATAATATAGTCTGACTCTTCTTGCGCTCTTTGCTCATGATCCCAGCCAATTACTTGAGTTATAAACTCTTTGTTAAGGTAGGGGTCTGTTTCCAGTGTGGAGAATGTACTGTCCCAAGCTTTGGGGGTTTTGTGCAGATGTTTTCAGAGATACTTCTAGGAACCTGTAAATTTTCAGTTCTTTCAAGGTGCTTTGATCAAGGGCAAGGTGTTTACTCCTTTCCTGGCCTGTGCTCTGGTCTATGAGTGACCACAAGCAGTCTTTTCTGTCTTGGAACTGTGAGGGTTTTCTCTCTAAAGCCACTACAAGTTCCACCATGCCTCAGTGCTCCTCCTCGCCCTAGGACTGCCCCTCAGAACTGGGACCCAGATCCAAGCATGGGCAAAGCAAGAGAATCCTGCACCAGCAGTGAGATCCCTACAATCCCCCTCTGATCAGCCACTCAATTCCCCCTCAGTCTGTGGGCCAGAAGCTTAGGAGGCAGCCCCCGCCTCGGGGCCAAGCTTGGGGAATGGAGCTGATACCCGGTGCTCCTCTCTCACCACTGTAGAAACAGACTTTTCCCATTGACCTTCTAAGTTGGGCGTTTGTGGGTTGAGAGGTCTGGAAACCGCCACAACTGCCCCAGATTCAGTCCTCTGAGGCCTGCTTCAGGTTCCCTGCGGCCTGCACACCCACGCCAAACTGTGCTCTTCTGCCCACCCGGCGTGCTATGCCTTTCAGGTCAACCATCCAGATTGTCTTGTGCTGGAAATTTGTTTCACTCTGTCTTTTTGTGGGTTCTGCTGTTTTAGAATTTGTTTAGAGCCATTTTTTATAGGTATTTGGAGGGGTTTGGGGGAGAGCTGAAGCAAGTCACTGCTTTTACTCCGCCATCTTGGCTCCACCTATATAGTACTTTAAGGTATATAAAATGCTTCACAAACATTACGTTACTTTGTCCTCCAAATGATCCTGTGCAGGCAGTTTAAATATTATTCCCATTTTACATGTGACTTGTGAAGCATTGCACTTTCAGCACATGGGGCCTGCACAAAAGTTACCACAGATTCAAGTAGTCTGTGAGTCTATATCTATTCAAAACCATAGCTCATGAATCTCCAGTCCCTGATGAGGAGTTTAGCTCATTGAAAGCAGAGATTGTTTTATTTTTTTTTCCCTTTCATTTTCTCTCCAGTACTTAGCACAGTGCCTAGTATGTGGTAGGTGCTTAAAAAATACTAGTTGACTGACATGTCAGTCAGAGCTATCAACTTGCCCTTAGCAAATATTGTAGCAAAAATAAAATATAGTAAAGTATAGTATAGTGTCATAGAGTATAGTATATAAAGGCGGTGCAGTGGATAGAGTGCTAGGCCTGAAGTCAGGAAGACTCTTCCTGAGTTCAAATCTGGCTTCAGACACTTAATACCCATGTGACTATGGGCAAGTCACTTAACTCTTTTTGCTTCAGTTCTTCATCTGTAAAATGATCTGGAGAAGGATATGGCAAACCATTCCAGTATCTTTGCCCAGAAAACCCCAAACAGAATCATGAAGAGCTAGACACAGCCAAAACAACATAGTATATAAAATATATTTTTAGTATATACTAAATAGATAGTATACATAGTATATTATAAAGCATATATAGTCTATAAAATGGAATAAAAATTTTAAAAAATAACACCTTCCTTATTTGGGGAGAATATGCCCTCTCAATTTTGGGTATAATCTCTTACATATTCTTCTACATACCTGCAACATCATTGTGAAGAGTGAATACACATAGGGACTTATGTTTAGGGGAACATGTAAAAGAAACGTACATGGCCAGAACATACATGTGAGGAGCATTTGATTCCACACAGCTGAAGGTGTGTGCTGGTGATGTCATCATGATGCTCCTCCTGTTCTGATCTCTTTTGTTCTTGTGTGGGATATATTCTTGTCCTTCCTCCTCCTCCTTCTCTCTCCCTCCTTCTCTCTCTTTTTTTTTTTTTGGCTAGGCGATGAGGTTAATTGACTTGGCCAGGGTCACACAGCTAGTCTCAAGTGATCAAGTGTCTGAGGCTGGATTTGAATTCAGGTGCTCCTGACTCCAGAGCCAGTGCTCTATCCACTGCATCCACCTAAGCTGCCCCTCTCTTTCTCTTTTTTCTCCTTCTTCCTTCCTCCTCTCTCTCTCTCTCTCTCTCTCTCTCTCTCTCTCTCTCTCTCTCTCTCTCTCTCTCTCTCTCTCTCTCTCTCTCTCCCTCCCATATATAATGTATTTTCACTGGGCCTTGCTCTCGGCTAGTGCCATGTAATTGCCACTGGCTGTTTCTGTTTCATGTCTGCCACTGGTCTCACGTTTGCCAAATGTTTATGGGCTACCAGCTTCTGGGTTTCATCTCTTCAGGGAATATACTGGACATCTGGCTTCTGTCTGCTAGGGTGCCACGTCTAGAAATCTTTTCCCTTATAGGAACAGGCTGACATCTCTTCAGTTATAGCTGATGCTGTGAACCACTTTATCTACCTAAGGGAGAAAAGTCAGACAGGATGCTCCCAGATAAAGCCTGATTTTTGAACTCCCTTTCTCCTGCAAGGAGGATCCATATCTTTATCTCACTCTCTATCTCACTTAGAGCTAGAAAGTCCTTATAACTCCAGGTTAATTCCCTACTATACATTTTCCATCTCCAAACCCATTTTAGGGGCCTTTGCCAAAAGAACCCACAGAACTATGTGGGTTTGAGCCCCTACAGTTTATTTCTGGGACCCTCAAATACTTTGGAACTTGCCATGCAAATATATCTGAGCAAGGAAAAAGCTAAAAGGGAAGATTCTTTGTTTTTATTATGTATATACAGCTAGAAAAATATCCATCTAAAACCAACACTGAGCAGTGAAGACATTTATTTAGTGTTTCCCAGCTAGTGATAGTCAGTTTTCACATCCAGTTACTCTTACATTACGGAACAAGTGCACTTTATACAATACCATCCTACCTCTCCTAATGAAAATGGAGCATGTCCTTACTGAAGTCAAGAATGAGTTAAAAAGATGCTCTTTTTTTTTTTTCAAGGGGAAATAAATTCTGCTGTCTGGGCAAAAATCTACATGCTCAGTATAGTTACTTGATTTATACAATTTTCTACTTCCTTAGAAACCTTCTTCCTGTGGTAGTAGCTGCTATTCCTGCTTGCTGCCACTTCAGCTCAAACTAATTCGAAATTGTAAGGATGTGGAAGGATGATGAGCATTGATCAAGGAAGGAGAAATCGTGTTTTTTTTTCCTTTTTAGTGAACTGAGCTTTCATTCTTCCTAGGCCACTGCTGGGGAAACCATTTTCCATTGCCTCACAACAGGTAGCAAGTCAGTTATCTGAAGATCTCATTACATATAATAATAATAATTGTTAGCATTTAAGTAGTGCTTTAAAGTTTGCTAAGAGCTGCTAGACATATGCTCTTCCATTTGATAATGTCACATTTTTGTTTAACGTATTCCCTTGAAAATGGCCTAAATTCTAAGTGTGTGGAAAGACATCTGGTCTATACACAGTCAAGTATATAGTCATATATACATTGATTGCCTCATAATGTTTTAAACCAAGTGATTTTATTGAATAAATCATTAAAAGTCTCCCAATTGCCTTCTGAAAATTGAAACATTCTTGCTGGAAGAAAAATATGACTGTGGCATGAATATTTTCAGCTGTTCAAGCAGCACTAGCCTTCTTTTCTGATGTATACATTAGGAATTCCTTGGATTGTTTTCAAGTTACTTCTCGAGACAAATCATAATTGACAGATGAAAAACAGGAAGAAAGGGGGTCGAAGTTTGCCCACAAAGGCCTTTGAGTCATAAGACGCCTGAGTCCTTTGGGGTTGAGCTTTGGAGCAGGGTAGCTGGAAGTCTAAACCTTCAGGTCTCCAACAATGCTATCACGAACTGGTCATTTTGGCTCTAGTAAACTCCAGCACAAAGCTAAAGGGATGTGCAGGTGGCATAAATCACTGCAAGTGGTTGAACTGATGACAAATCACACAATTGATAAAGTTGAACTATTTCTTTATTCTTTAAAAATTTTATTTAAGATAGATAGCAGCACTGCCTAGGCAGCTCCTTGGGGATGGGAGGGTAGGATATCTGGTGGGTGGAGACCTCACCCCTGAGCATGGGCAGTACCCAATGCCTTTTTTTAAGACATATTTTACTTTAGTTTTCTGAATGAGGGGAGAAATTAGAGAAGGATTCATAGGGGAGAGGAGTTGGGAAAAGTTTATGTTCAGGATTGTGATTTAGTGGTCTTTCATTTATTCTCAATTTTCAAAACCTATGTGCTTTGAAACTACTTTTCTGAAACTTGACTCAAAAAATGAAAACACTCCAGGCGGCACATAGTTTATTTCTGTCTTTCCAAAGACAGTGCTGTTGACTGAACTTACACTTGGATCACTTGGTAGGCAGCACCTGCTGCTGTGGGGTTCCTGGGACACTATTTCCTTAGAAACATGAGTGGAGCCCTTCAGAGGGCCAGAGATGGAGACCTTCGTTTTCCAATGAATACCTTCCCACCGACGCCACCAATACAAAGAAATGAGAAACGGCCTTTAGACAGCCACTTCTTTTAAATGCGACAGAGCAGGATCACTGGGTATCGATCGATCGGCCCTGTGACCAACACAGACCAACTTTAACCATATTGGCTGTCTTGACCTGTACAAAATCATAAACTTCTCATTGCCAAAGTCTATAAAGCTATTTCAAGTTAGTGAATTCCCTGGGGAAATGATACACCCATATACATATATGTATATGCATATATATACATTTATATACATACATATATGTATATATACACATATATAAATCTATATGTGTGTATAATTTTTAAAAAATCTGAAAAACATCCTTTACCACGGGGAAGAGCTGCATCTGACAAGAAACTCTATGAGTTATTATTAGTACCATTATTGTTTTCTTTGGCTTCATGTACTATGTTGGTAAAATAACCATAAAAAAGAAAAATATATAAAAAAGCAAATATTTTGTACAAAAATACAAAGTTTTAAAAGCTCTTAAAAGTATATTCCATATTATTACTAAGAGTTTGGACTATATATATGTATATCTGTATAATTTTCCTACATTTGGGATTTTAGCAAATGTAACACACTGTTTACACAGTAGATGTTGAAGCTTTTCCTATAGCTGAGTAACAAGCACTCATTCAGAATGGAGTATCCCTGTGCTTCTGAAGTGAGAGCTCACATACTTGGGTGGTTATTGGCTGAGAAAGGCTACTGGATTCCATCCAGCTGTGCACTGACCATCAACTAGGTCCCAAGTCCTTGAGTAATGGTGGAAGGGAAGAAAAATTTGCAGCAGGAATTTTTGTTGAACCAGTTTTCAGTGCTTTCTTTTTCCACGGGGTGAGAAGATGATCTAGTCAGAAAGGCACATCCGTTGCTTTTGGGAGATGTCCAGAATTGGTGTCCATGTTTGTCATTTCACAGCTTATTATAATGCAGAAGTTGGTGCTAAAAGGAACAAAACCAGTTTTAATATTTAATCAAGTTAACATTGTATTAAAATAATAAGGATTACCCAATCTGTTCTACTGCTCAAGATTTTAAAATGCAAGGTTTAAACAATAATGTATATGATTTCTTTTTAAAAATAGATTTTCACTGATATCTTTTGTTTTTACATAGGCTAGATATCCTCTTGTATCCTGCCTCTCTCCCCACCTGAGAGTCATCCTGGTGTGTATAATACCAAAGAAATGAATAATTAGCAAAGAAAACAATTGCAGCCTTTGACACTCAACCCCCCCCCAAAAAAAAACAAAAACAAAACCCAAACTAGTCAGATTCAAGGGCCAGATGCTCATCCTTAGAGGCTATACTACTGACAATCAAATTGGCTAAACTTGATTTTAACAAATCAGAAATTTGGGTTGTTTTAGACCCCATTCTTTTAAATGAGTTGTAGCTCTGGTGAAGGAAACTGCATTAAAATCTCCAGTGTAAAAGAAGCAGATGTAGAAGGAGATTAGGTTAGAGATGTGAGATATTCAGAACAGAGCAAAGTGAAAAAAAAAATCTCATAAAGGCACAGTGTAGACCTTTGGGGCTCTTGTGGTGCCATTGTCTCTTTTTTATTCTTAATTTTTTTCAGTAAACAAATACTTATTTTCTCTCCCAACAAATTTTTTTGAAAAAAAATCGTGATATTGGTGCACTATGATAGGAAAATTTAATGAATGCTGTTGTATTGGATGAGTCAAAAATGATAAAGATTATATGGATAAAACATCCATTGGTAGTGACCCAGGCTCTACAATTCTTCCTCTTAAGAACACCATGCTGCTTACCTGGCTCCCTGTCTTTTTCACAAATGAAATTGTTAATGTCTTCACACTGGAAATCATTCCACTGCCCAGCATAGATTAGCCCAGCACAGTCTTCTCCTGGTCCATGGCCATGACCCCAGTTATCAGGCTGTCCAGTTTTCCAATTTCTTTTGCAAAAACAAAAATTGAGTGTTATTTGCACAGTATGATGTCTTTGATCAAGAGAAGAAAAGTAAAAAAATTTTAAAAAATCAAACTACTGTATCTTTCCTGAAATGAAGATACATTATTTTAAAAATAGTGCATGTTCTTTTTAGAAACGAGAAGCATATGTGCAGCTGCTGAGAAGGGAATCTCTCAAGTCAATACAATAGGGATGTCAAGGTCAGGAGGCCTAAAGTCTGATTTCCATGCTGCATTCCCTGGGGTGTTTGTTGACCTCGTCCAAATGAAATCAACTCAGCATGCCATTTAAGTGCCGAGCTGTGGGGGGAAAGACTCCAACTTTCAATAAATTACGTAGTTTATCAAGATGAGGCAAATGATAAATTTTTAACATAGGTCCTAGCTTTCGAGAAGGGACTTTAGAAGTCATCTAGTCTTACACTTTCATTTTACAGATGAAGAAACTGGAGCCCAGAGAGCTTAATTGAGTTGCTCAGAATCACACAGTAATAGAGCTAGGATCTATACCTAGTCTTAAGGTTCTAAATTCAGTCTTCATTTCATTGGCTTTGAGAAATATGGGAGAATGTGGTTTGTATTTGTACACATGGGAGTTTGTTATTCCTACACATTGTTTTGTCTTAGTTCTTCTGAGCAGAGAGACTTTTGAAAGTTCATTTGGATCTTTATATGTTTTGAAATATATGAACATAAATAAGAACTGAAAATAAGAACAGAATTAATAAGAGTGATAACAATAATTATTTGCCAGCCATGTGCTAAGTGCCTTACACTTATTATCTCATTTGGTCCCCATAACAGTCCTGGGAGGTAGGTGCCATTATTATCCCTACTTTCCAGATGAGGAAACTGAGTCAAACAGGGTCACACAGCTAATCAGTGTTTGAGGTTGGATTTGAACTTGGGTCTTCTCACTCCAGGCCCAGTGCTCTATCTACTATGCCACCTAGCTTCACCAGCATAAGAAATATGCATCTAAAATCCCTCTAACGATAAACAAATAGCTATGACTTCTTTGGTGGTGGTTTGTTGGTTGCCCTAGCTAAGAAAGATAAATTTAATTTCACTACTAGCTGTTTAGAATATTTCAGTTTTTTCAAGAAATTAAAAACAGAAACAAGAAGTAAGCTTCTTTAGGGTGGCTTCATTTGAAGGCGCGTTAACTTGAACTGTGTAATTTGAAACAACCCTTAGGATTTTTGTTTGGCAGAGTTAGCATTTCTTGATTATGTTTTCATTTAATAAATTAGATGTACTTCCAATATCAGCCTCAGAAATAGTTTCCCCCCCCCCAAGAAACAGGTTGCTACACAGAAGCTTATGGTTACTGCCTGAAAGGATGCCATGATCAGCTTCAGGACACGCCTGCCTGATGTGGAGGGTCTGAGAGAACATCTGGAAAAGGATACACACAGCTTTCCAGAAACGATGAGTCATTTTCCCATCATAACATGCAGTCCTGAGGTTACTCAAGGACACCCCAAATCATTAGAAACTTCTAAGGTGAGACCAGCAGCCCCAAATCATGTTTACAAAAGACATCTGATGTTGATAGTAAGTTTAAAAAAACACACAAGGTAGAATTTCCTCTCAAATGTGTATTTTGGGGTATTCTTCATGAAGAGTGATTAAAAGACCATATTCGAATCAATTTAGTAACGTAAAGATAATTTGAAGGAGGCTATAATAAGATGTGAGCTAACCTCTGAGTTTGGACCTTGTCTAGCCTAGAACCAGGTTTCAATATCATGTCTCACCTTGTCCACACCATGCTTCCCTCCCCTCCTTTTCAGTTTTCCTCTATGTACTATCTTCTGCTATTAGAATATAAGTTCTCTGAGGGCAGGGAATGACCCAGAACTTAGTGTATTGCCTGGCACTTGGGAAATTCTCAGTAAAAGCTTTTTTTCTGTCAACTAACTAAAAAACTACCTTATATGGGCCCCCAAGTAGAAAGATACCTTTGAGGATGGTGGGAAGATCCCAAAGGTAGATGAGGAAGGTAAGGAAAATGCATAAAGAATTGGAATGTAGATTGTTGAATTTACATTATTTTCAGTATTTGTTGATTTTGTGTCACCTTGTCTAACTTATCAGCAGGTGTTAATGGCACACAGGTTATTGGACAGCACAATATTATTAGTACAGTCTCTTAATTTTTGTAAACAGGGGAGGTTGGGCTTATATTTTAATTTTGCTCAGTGTGCTGAGGACCACAGTGGATTGGAGTGTCAGAGACCACTGTGTGGTTCACAAATGTATAAACAAGGGTTATTATAGCTACTTCTTCCCCTCTGCCCCTACCCTATACACTTCTCAGTTAATTGATAAACTGGGTGAATCTTACATAGAAAAGTAATGAAAAAGCATTTAGCACATGTGGCATAGGGGATAGAGCACTAGGCTGGGGGTCAGGAAGACTTGAGTTCAAATCTAGCCTCAGATACTTACTACCAATGTGACCTTGGGCAAGTCATCTAAATCTGTTTGCCTCAGTTTCTTCATCTGAAGAATGAAATGGAAAAGGAAATGGCAAAACCATTTTAGTATCTTTGCCAAGAAAACCCCAAATGGGATCATGAAGAGTCAGACATGACTGAAAATGACTGAACAGCAAGAAATGTTAACTGTGTCAAGCACATAGAAGGGACAAATAGAAATCTTTTTATTTGGTTCTTCACCTTTAAATTATTTTCCATGCAGCTGAGTTTAATATGGGAGAAGATACGCAGACAAAAAGGTTAAGTGGTTGGAAATTACAGAAGTGTTGTGGGGCTTGCTATGATCCAGTAGCGTCGTCTAACTTTTAACTGAACTAACAAAATAGTCTTTAACTTTTATCGTGCTTCTGATGTTCTTCCTTTGGAACCAGACCAAGAGTGAACAACTGGGGCTGGGAGCAGAGATAACAGGGATGTCCCCAGAGGACAGATAACATCAGTGTACAGCAGCTCCAGAGCTGGACTCCAGCTCAGTATGAGAAGAAAAGCAAACCAAGAGCCTCCCAGGTAGAGTTGTCCTGGAGTGGGCCACGTGGGGAAGTTGTCATAGAGGTCTTCATATGAAATTTAAGTGATAATATTCAGGAATCTGAATCTGGGGATACTGTGCAGGGGACCCATGCTTCTGGTGTGAGTTGAACAAGAGTTGAACAATACTAATTGATCAATTAGTATTTATTAAGTAATTATTATGTGCCAGGCATTGTGCTGAGCAGTTGAGATACAAAGAAAGGTAAAAAACAGTAACTACTCTCAAGTAGTTCACAGTCAAATAGGGAAACAACCTGAAAACAATTATGTACAAACAATATACATATGGGATAGATTGGAGGCAGCTAGCTGGGCCTGGGGTCTGGAAGATTCACTGGCTTATTAGGGCAAGCACCTGGAAGGGACAGGAGGAAATGGAATTAAAAGTATGAATAGATGAGATGATCTCGGCAATGACCAGGATCACATAAAACTAGCTGTGTGACCTTGCCTCAGTTTCCTCATCTATAAAATGAGCTGGAGACGGAAATGGCAAACCCACTTCAGTGTCTTTGCTAAGAAAATCTCAAATAGAGTCATGAGGAGTTGGATGTGACTGAAAAAAACTGAATAACAACAACATTCTCAGAGGGAAGGAACTTGAGGAAGACAGGGAAAGACTTCTTGCAGAAGGTGGGAAATCAGCTGAGACCTGAAGGAAGCCTGGGAAGCTAGGAGGTGGAGATAAGGAGGGAGAACATTCCAGGCATGGGGGACAGCCAATAAAAATGCCCAGGAGATTGGAGTGTTGTGTGTGAGCAACAGCAGGAAGGTCAATGTCACTGAACTGCAGAGTATGTGGAGGGTAGTAAGGTATAAGAAGACCAGAAAGGTAGGGAGGAGCTTTAAAAGGTTAGGAAGAGCTTTAAGATCTAAATGAAGGATTTTGTATTTGATCCTGGAGGTAATAGGGAGCCACTGAGGAGGGGGTGTCTCATACAGTCAGACCTATATTTTAAGAACATCAATATGACAGTTGAGTGGGGAGAGACTTGAGATTGGGAGACCAATTAACAGGCTATTGCAATAGTCCCGGTGAAGAGGGCCCATACTAAGATGGTGGCAGTGTCAGAGAAGAGAAGGGGGGGGTACATCCAAGAGATATCTAGAAGGCAGAATTGACAAGATTTGGCAACTGATTGGATATAGGTTGGGGAGAGAGAGAGAGAATGAGAAGTCAAGGATGACTCATTGGTTTCAAGCCTGGGTAACTGGGAGGATGGTGTCCCCTCAATAGTAATACAATGTAGATGGTCTCGAAATGTATCTGAAGTCAGGACAACAGAGGGACAATTCATCAACAAGCATTTATTAAACAGCTACTATGCACCAGGCAGTATGCTAAATGCTGAGGATACAAAGAAAGGCATAGAGATTATTAGGACGCGCACATTGGGATGTTTGCATGACAAAACTTGTCAGAAATAATAGCCTGGGATCAGAATAAAATACAGTGACCTAACACACATTTACAACTGTGGACAGAAAAATGGGGTAGATCAGATAAAGATCATATAAATATCATATATATTTTGGTGAAGAATTTCAGCATAAATTGTAACTGAAGGCCAGGAAACATCCTTCTCTTTATCCCACAAACACCTATTGTTTTTTCCTACCTGCATACATTTGCATTTTTCATATTTAAATGTTTCCCTTGGTTACATATTATATTTATGAGTGCTATGTCACAGCACCAGAGGCTGAAGCTATAGATGGGGAAAGTGCCTGAATCTCATGTAGTGGTAGGCATAAATCAGCAGCAAATTCTAGCAAGGCATTTGTCAGTCAATCAGTTGATAAATATTTATTTAGCACATACTATATACCAGGCTAGGAATACAAAAAAAAGCAAAAGCATTTTCTGCCCTTGAGGAGCTCACAATTGAATGGAGTTGTTTGTACAAAGCATTTCTGCTTTAACAACCTGTTTTGAGTACACTAGAAGA